TGATGTGCTACATTTTTTTTTCTAAATCAAGACAGAAACAGTTGCCTCAGTGTGAGATTTTGCCATTTCCTCTGTCAGTAGGCTTTGAGCAAAGCCCCAAGGGAAGATGGGGTAGGCAGGGACTGCCTGGCCCCTGTGAGGCTGGAAGCCAGGAAGCTGTCAGCCAGCAGCTCCTTTGCCATCTGTGGAAGGAGTGGCTTAGATTAGAGATTTGTAACATCTCCTCCAGCCAAAACACTCTGGGTTTCAGATCACAGGGCCATATGAGTCCCACCCCAGCCCCACTGCCAGAATTTCCTTTCTTCAACAGATGTCTGTAAAGCACTCAGCCCTCCCCAGCACTGCAGAGAAAATAATCAGTAAACACAGCCATGAGTTCTTCTTGTCAAGGAGCTTTCCCTTCACAGGACAGTGTGGAGGGGATCAGTCATTTGCTATGCCGTCCCATAAATAACATCAAATGCAGTAGATGCTAACAAGTGAGATAATACTTTATTGAGCCATCACTATGTGCTGGCACCACCTTACCTGTGAATTGGCTCACTTCATCCTCACCTCCACCCAATAAAGTAGACACTATTAACATCCCCATTTCACAGATAAGGAAACTGAGGCATGGGGAGGTTAGGAAACTTGCCCAAAGACATGGAGGTAGCAAATAGCAGAGGCAAGATTCAAACCCAGAGAGTCTAGCTCTAGGACCCCACACTTAGATGCTACACTATATCTGCCTCCTGAGATGCTCCCAGGCAGGGGATGTGGGGGGCTGGACTTGGCCTGGAGCTCTTTCCTATGGAAGCACCAAATGAGCTGAGATTAACTAGGAGGAGAATTAGTCAACTGGGAGGAGAGAACCTTCCAGGAAGTGGAACTGGTATATGCAAAGGCCCTGTGGCAGGGGGGAAGGTGGCCTGCTCCAGGAATTGAAAGACCCAGGAGGCTGGAGATGGAAATGGAGGGAGTTCAGCAAGATGAAGCTAGAGTGTGGGTAGGACCACACATGGCAGGCCTTGTTGGCCGAGTTAAGGAGAGTGACAGAAAGCCCTTCTGTCTGGTTCTATCACAGCTTTGTGCAGGAAGCCTCCCTGAACACTCCACGTTGGGTTCAGTGCTGCGTGTCTGAGCCCCCTGTTCTGCAGTAACCCTCCTCACATGCTGTATGTTATCACCCTCCTTCTGGAATGAGCTTGGTGAGGAGAGGGACACATTCCTTTCCCTTTAGCACCCACCACATAGTAGAGAACTACAGGAGGGAGGGTGAGAACTGCGATCTGGGGGTGCTCCAAGAAGGCTGCCTGGAGGAGGCAGAGTTGAGCTGAATCTCGACAATGGAGCATTCTTGCTGGGGTTGGAGGAAGTGGAGGCAGCAGAGAAAGCCAAGGCCTCTGAGGGGCAAGCAGCCACCCACCTTCTGGAGCCGAGACTTCTTTTTATTGTTTTTCTTTGAGACAGAGTTCCACTATGTCGCCCTCAGTAGAGTGCTGTGGCATCATAGCTCACAGCAACCTCAAACTCTTGGGCTTAAGTGATTCTCTTGCCTCAGCTTTCCGAGTAGCTGGGACTACAGGCACCCGCCACAATGCCCTAGCTATTTTTTGTTGCATTCGTCATTGTTGTTTAGCTAGTCTGGGCTGGGTTCAAACCCACCAGCCTGGGTGTATGTGGCTGGTGCCATAACTACTGTGCTACGGATACCTAGCCAAGCCAAGACTTCTTAAAGGGAATTGAGAGGTGAAAGGCTCCAGGGAGCCAAAACTACCCCCCACTACCCTACCACTCCAGTCTCTGCCCTGGGACAGGCCAGGAGCTGAGAGCTCAGATGTCAGAAGGAGCAAAGAGCTGCACAAATGCTCAGGCCTTGGCTTCAGACCCCAACCCCTGCCACACCACTGCTAGCTTTGTGACTGTGGGCAGGGTACTCACCCACTCCAGGCTTCAGAGTCCTCATTTGGAAAATGGATACAGCCATCACCTCTGCCCTGGCAGAACTGTTGGGGACTCCAGTAAGATAATGACTGTAAACACACTTTATAACCTGGAACAAAGGGCACCCCAGGCCCTTAGTCAGCCACCTTGGAGACAATCCAGAGGCCAGGCCCATTTCAGACCCCCTGACCTCTCAAAAGGCCCCTGTTTCTCTTTTGTTCTCCTCCCCATCAGAGTCTAGATTTAGACCACCCCTCAAATTATAGGGGCCTCAGGGGCCACCATCTTTCGCTAATTGAGAACAGGGTGAGAGCTAGGGGGGGCCGGGCAGGTGGCAGGGCGTCTGGCTGCTCTTTGCCCTGTGGGGCTGTGCTGGGCAGGTCACAGGGACCCTTCCTGACCACTGCTCCTGGGTCTTGGTGCTGCAGTCAGCATGGTAGTACAGCTGCCAGGAGGAATCATTGATTGCAGTGGGGGGTTGCCTCTGGCTTCTGGGCAGACTCCCAGGGGCCTGGTGGTGGTACAAGGTCAAGCCTTGATCTTTTTGCACCTGACCCAGCTGAGTCCTGACAGGGGAGGGGAAGGAGGTGGCATCAGATTCAGGCCTCGAATCTTCTTCATTAGCAGGCACCCTGCACAGGAACCGCTGGGACCACATATCACCAGGAGGGCAGCCCCACTCTTCCCATTGACAAATTGGAGTGGGAGCTGGTCAAAATGAGGGCACTGGAGGAGGGAGAAAGAGGATTTGGCAGACAGAGGAGAAAAACTGTAAAACAGAGACACCGATTCCTACTTCTTAGGCTGCTACCTCTCAGGAGCTAGTGAGGAATAAAGGGTGTTTAACAGGGTGCAGCCTTAATAAGGTGTCTGTACACACACAGCCTGTCACATGTCCACTGAAGCCCTCTCAGGGGCTGCCCCCACGTGAGCCTGAAGTATGGTCCCAGGCGTCCCTGCCAGCATTTCATTTTCTCCACTAACTTCTTTCTTGAGCCTGGGGACTTCATTCCTGTTTGTTGTGATTTTGTTTGTTGTCTGGCTTACAGGTGGCACACAGAAAAATAAGAAGGGGACCTGGAGTCAGCCGCCTACCCCCACCCTGGCTCAGATCCCGACTTCACTGTTACCAGCTCCCTGCTCAGGCAAGTCTCTTAACCTCTCTGGGCCTGGGATGATCAGAGAACCTCTCTGGTCTTCGTACAGGAAACAAAAACCAATCTAAGCATCTAATTACATTCTTTCAAAATCAATGTAAGGGTTAGAATCTGGGTCTCCAAGACAGAGCAGAACTATCCCACCAGACAAATTGCTCCTCGCCTACAGTCAGGAGCACCATTACTGAAGCCACTGAGTTTACATTCCCTCCCCTGCAATTCGGGGATCTGCAGACCCCTGCAGCCTTTGCCACAATTGCCTGTCA